CACAAACTAGGTGCAAGGATTTATCCAGAAACTGCCCTGTGTTGCATAAGTCAGCACGCTTCGAGTGAAATTTGTTTCGAAGTGGTGAGCACTCATCAAACGCATGCCTGACAACACAACCAGAAATCGACAGGGGACCCAAAAACCAATGCGACCAGGTGGAATCATGAGTAACCAGTGCGCCTAAAACTATGAGGCAGGCAAGTTGGCAGAAGGAAAAGCCAAAGGAAAGCGTCACACCCCCCCAAGTGGCTCCGGCCGGTCCAAAGGAGCCCTGGTCACTAGTCAAGGGGAAGCATGCCCCGAACGGAGACGCTGGCTCGGGAGGCAACGTTCTGGTTTAGTAAATCTAATCGTGCCAAGAAGGAAGCCAGACGGGATGGTTCAGTTCGGGACCACTCCCCTGGGAACAAGAAAGCTTGGCCCACCTGTGTGCTTCTGGCTTGCGGGGATGCTGCTTTGGGGCTGCTTAGGACTGATCCTAAGCAAGCCTGAGAGCCTGCAAAAATATGAATTCTCAGTCCCCCGGGAAAATGGGCCGGATGCTCCAAAATAGTTGATTCTCCTTTTTGGCTTTCTTTTCGACATCGTCCAACAGGCACCAACCCACAAGGTTTACCCAGAATCCTTGCCCCCCCCTTCCTTGGACCTCGGACCCCCAATAAAACCCACGGCCCCATCCCAAAGCCGCCGAACCGCCGAACCGCCACAACACACCCACACGTAAACCCAGAATCCGTCCCCCCCCCCCCCCCCAAGAAAACCCACGGCCCCATCCCCAGTCCCAAAACCGCCAAACCTCGGTTGCTTTCTGCTCCCCTTCCAAAAGTTTAACTTCTTGACTTCTAGCTGTTTCATGAACAATCCTTTAGTTGGCAAAAAGTTCAAGCCCTACCATCCCCCCCCCAAGAAAACCCAAAACCGGCCCCGTCCCAAAACCCGCCCAAAACCGCCCGAAACCTGCCGAAACCACCGCACCAAGCCAACCGCCCGAGCCACAAAGGCGGCCAGCATGAAGACCAGCAGCGCCGGGACGCCCCCCACCGCGCTGGCGAAGTGCGCCGCGGCATCTGCCGTGGAGTTCAGGCTCGCCAGGTCCCTCGATCGGCTTTTCGCGGAACCAAAGTGGGAAGGTTTGGTGGAGGCCCAAAATGGCCGGGCCATTTCGGGGGCTCGGAATTGCCGGGAAAAAATGGCGGTTTTTTTGGTGTGGGGCCAGAATTGCCGAACAGGTGTCGATTGTTTCAGGTTGTTTCAGGTTAGGTTGTTTCAGGCTGGAGCCACGGTGGCAACAAAACCAAACTTGTGCACGCTTCTCGTGGTCGGAAGGCCCATTCTCGCGCAGTTCGGCAAGGTTGGGGGCGGAAGCACAAACAAACACGAAAACAAGCACACGCACAAATACAAAAACTGCCTAGTTCAGGACGCTTTGCATCGACTGTAAACCCCGGAGAGGGGCAAAAGCGGAGTTGAGGGCATCCCCACTCAAGGGCTTTGACCGCGTTCAACCCGTACCGGCTTCGGAGCTGAACTTTGTAGCCAGCTGGTGCGTGAACACCCCCAGTAGGTGAGGCGGCGGTGAACCCGTTGCAGAAGTTGCTCGCACGGCCAGGAAAGCAAGAGCCTTGTCTAGTTGAGAACCGCCCTTCAGCTTTTCAAGGTTCCTTGCATATTGGCATGTCCGAAAGAAGGGACTTGTAGAGAGAATGGGAGAAGTACAACTCGAAAAGTGGGAGACAACCAATATATAATATACTGATGTAACTGACGCTGACATGCCTGTGTGTGTGTGTCAGAAAGGGGACCAACCGAATGAAGGCCAGGGCCGGGGTTATGTCACATTCAAAGCATACCTGCAAGCCTTCATCCATTTTCCGAGCAACCTTTGCGGGAGCAACCCCAGAAACATGGGGCCAGCGCCTGCCGCATCGGAGACCACGCCAAACTCCGTCCAAACTCTTGGGACTTGATAGAAAAGAAAGGCAGTTGCGGAGCCGAACGGCAGGTCAAAACCCAAAGCCCCCGCGCAGGATTCTGACCAAAGGGATCGAAAACCAGTCTGGCACGGGGGTCTTATTGTCTGTCCTTAACCACCCGACGCCACCCCAAACCACCTTGTGTTTCCTTTGGTCACCCCACCCCACCCCACCCCCCCCCAAAAAAAAAACAAGGAACCCGCCCCCTTTTAATCGAACCCACCGCCACAAAAAGAAGATGGCGGCACTTTGTTCAAGAGAGCAAGAAACGGGCACTGGGCTGTCCTCAGATCATATTTTTTAGTGGGTTAAACGAAAACTCAACAACTGAACCAACCAAAAGATCCTAACCACTTCTGGAACCAAACGGCTGGGAACAACCAAAAAGGTTCCAGAAACAACAGCGCAACACGCCAAGTCTTCTCTGGGCCCAACGAATTTCGGCCGAGAAGCAGTGCCAAGCTCCAGTGCTTTGCCAGCGGCGCATGGTGCGGCGGCAGCGGCACGTGGCGCCCCGGTGCGAAGAACATCGCGGCGCCTCGCTGGGGCTGAAGCTGCGCTTCGGTTTTCACGGGGAAAAATATGTTTAAAAGGGAAACCACAGGCCAAACCATCATGTTGGGATATTTTGGGGGAGTCCCATTGAAAAAAAACTACACCACTCAGGGGAGTTTTGGATTGGTGGGTTTGGAGTTGGAAATGAAAGCCCCTGGGCCTCGTAGCGAAGCCAGCCCCTCCAAAGCAATCCAAATGGGTTTCGGTGTCCCTTCGGTGAGTCCGAAGCGCGGGGTGCCACTAAGATGTTCATCCAAGCCTTGGTTGCTGTTGACCCCCCTGCAAAAAGTTTAACTTTTTGGCGTTTAGTGGAAACTCCTTTATTTCCCAAAAAGTCAAAGTCCGAAGATCCAACCCAAAAGCAGTCAAGAAGCTAGCAGGTAGGTTGCAACCATGGTTGTAACTGGGGTAACAAATGTTCGCCCCCCATGTTCCATGGGTGGAACATTACTCGCCTCTCAACCCAGGTGAGTAAGCAGGTGGTTCATGTATTTGTTTCAGTGAGAGGTAACCCCGGCTACCCCGGGTTGAAACCTAGTCATACCTAACCTACTTGCCTCGGTTGAACCTCCCAGCTCTCGGTTCGTCGAGTCCGCGCCAACCTGCGAAACCTTTGGCCCTGGGAATGGCGACAGCAATGGACGGCCTTCCTACTGACGAAGTCTCCGCTTGGAGCAAGCCACTGTGGATTGGACGAGACCCATTTCGCGCCTAAGAAGCCATGATGAAAAACCCCTTGTTCGTTGGCATTTTCCCAGGGGAATCCGAGCCCTTCCAGGGCTCCGCAGGTCTCGGAGTCCGCGGAGTTCGTGCGAACCCAGGCTCAGACGCCAAAACTCGCCAAGCCAAAGGACCCAGAGACACGACTCCTCCCGGGCTCCGGAAAGGACTCCCCGGAAAAATCGGTGCCCCCGGCGCCTGGCATGTGGGGCACGGAGTCCAGGAGGCTGGTCCCAATCCTCACGGGTGTGGCTCAAAATGATTCCACTTACTAGGGCTCCATTTTGGTACCGGTTTTTTTAGCCACAGCCTCACTTCAAAGAACCTGGAAGTAAAAGATGATCACCTTTTGGGACCTTGACTAGGCATGTGAAATTCAGCGACGCGGGCTAAACATGTGAACACCCCGAATTGGAAAACTTCAAAAGGCCAAACGATTGATTCATTATGGCGCAAAACGGTGACGTAATTTGCCAAAAATGGCAAGCCGACGGCAAATGCGAGCCCATCTTAGCGGTAAAATGGCTCCAACTTGCAACACCAGAAGGCCAAAAGGTGAGTTTTTGCACTGAGATTCTTGTTGCCCGCCGCCGTCGTGTTCAGCGGCTTCTTGGAGACGCGGAGCGAATTTTGCAGCAGGGAGACGTGGCCTGACGACCAAAGGGCCGAGTGACGATCAAAGGGGCCAGTTGAAAGGCTGACTCAACAGGAAGAGCAGAAAAATGAGAGAACGCCGAAGACAATCAAGACCACAAGTCAAATCCAAAAAGGAACCTTTGATGGGTACCACAAAATTGGGGGTTGAACAAACGGGAAACTGAAAGAAAGCCCACTCATTTTGAGGGAAGCAAACATGTGAAAGAAGAAACAACAAAGGACATACAAGAGCCACAGATCAACTAAGTCCGGCAGTGCGGCTGGCATTGCACCCATCGTCAGCTTCAGCTCGCGCAGGGTGCACGGCGCAAGCGCAAGCCGCGAAAAACATCCACAGCCATCGGCATGGCATCTTGACGGACAAAAAACAAAAACAAAAAAGCGCAAATCCTGGGTCGCTCCTTGCCTCGTTTATCACCTGACTGTGCCTTGCTTCCTGTCTTGCCTGCACTGATCTCCCGTCCGAATCTTGATCGAGCTGGGCCATGGGACATGGAGTTTTTGTTCGGTCTCCCGCCGACCAGAGGTGTTCCCGGTCGCTGGAGCCGAAAAATGGACGCCCGGTGGATGGATCAGCTGCCACTGACTTCTTTCAGGCTGGGCGTTCCTTCCTGGATCGCCAGTTGCCATTTTGTTTTCCTCCATGCACTTTACCACAAAAACCAGCAACAGTGACTGAAAAAAGCGGCAACTTGGCTATCTAGGTCTTGGGGAATGAACAAGCCCAAGCTGAACTGCGGCTAACCAGCAGAGGCCAAGAAAGAACCCTCACATTTCTGGGCCCAACTCTACAGGAAAAGACTCTGCTTCCAGACGTGAGCCCGAACCAAAGAGGGCATCCCCCCCTGTGCACCCCCACCCCCCCCACTCACCCACGACCCCTCCCCCACACTGAGCCACCAGGTGAACCAGGAATCGCCCTCTATTTTTAAAGCTATGCTCCCCCACCACGACCCTCACCCCTGCGCACCCCCCACACTTCCCCCCCCCCACTCACGCACAACCCACCACTCACCCACGACCCACCCTCACCTCACCCGAAAACCCACCCCCCGGCCCAGCACCCAGGGCACAGCACCAGGGCCCCCCGGCGAAGTGGAGCACCTCCTTGGGCCGGCAGCTCTCCGGCAGCATGGCCAGCGGCCGCCGGCAGTCCGACACCTCACTCCCACGCCCGACGGTTCTCGCCTCGCTCGGCGCCTGGAGCTTCCACCCCCTCCCCGGGGTCCTCAAAAATACAACCCCAGAAATCAGGCCCTAAGAAAGGCCTTGTCTCAAAGCCAGGCCAATGGGCCTTAGAAACTCAGGCCCTAGTAGCGGCCCTAGACGTAAGCAGGTTGCAACCGTGGCTGTAAGGGAGCTAACCTTGCTTTATCAGAAAGAAAGCCATGGTTGTAACCTACGCACCTGGCACGTACCTGGCGTGGGGTGCAAAAGTCGAAAGAGAGGAACCTCACGTTTCCCGACCGAATGCCCGAAGGGCAGCACCGAAGCGGCCTGTTGTTGAAAGAAAAAATTGCCAACTTGATCGGCCGGGGAAAGTTGCTTCGTACGGTACCCAACAGCAGCTACCTTTCGTATAAAATAAATCTGGGATGCCTCCCTTAAACCAAACCGGCAAAACTGCGTTTTCAGAGGAGTCTCCAACCAATAGGTGGATGGTACCCTTCAACCGCCCGCCTTCCCCTTGAAGCAAGAACACTGGGCTCTAGCCTGCTTTTGGGTTTAGGTAAACGTGAAAAGAGAGTAAAATTGACTGATACCAAAGCCACTGCGACAACCAAAAATTCCACCCAATCCGCAACAGGATTGCGCAAAAAGCACAGCGACCAAGCGCCCACCCAACCCTTCGAGGCACTGGAAATGCGCACGTTCCGCAAAAGCTGCGCAGGAAGATCCACCCAAATCGCCGCCATAACTCCATGATCAGAGTTGGGCCCAATGTATATTTTATTGTTTGCTTCACTTTGAGCCACTGGTAAAATGAAACATTTATCCTAAGTCTCCCCCAGACTCTTAGTTCCAAATGGGCAACACAAAAACACCTCGGCCCCAGGCCACCGGTTTTTTTTTTTTTTTCGTTTTCCTCGCTCCAAACCCGGCGGTGCGTCAGCGCTCCGCTCCGCTTCGCTCCTACCCGCCCAGGGGGTCCGGCGTAGAAGCACTCGTGGAGGTGGCCCTGGAGGCAGACCAAGCGCGAGCCCATGACGTCCACCGTGTGCAGCGTCACCTGCGCTCGACTCGCGGGAGGTAGGGAAGGGATCCGTGGATCCCTCTTGGGGGCACAGTGAAAGACACGGAAAACAATAGGTGTGCAGGGCAAAATTGGGGTGGAGAGGGCCCTTCCACCAACTACTTTTCAAGTGGTTACCTAGTAAAATTCATGGCCAGGTGTCATGTTCAGTAATTGAAGATCGAAAAAATTGTTTTGGAGGAGACCCCGCCAGTGCATAGCCCAGCAAGGCCCGACTGGTCCTTGTGGCAACCACTGTTGGGCTTGCAAGTTAGGGCACGAGAAATGCACTTGCGCGTTCGACCCACGCTCCTCGAATAGGTTATATGGGTATGGGTCAAAATGAATCCACCAGAGGACCCCAGGTTTTAGTCCTTGTTTCCATTTACCAGGGTTCCATTTCGGGTACGTATTTTTGACCCACAGCCACATCACCATACAGTTTGGACCAAAGTAGACGGCAAACGAAGCCGCCCGTTGTGTGTAGTCATCCCCGTTACTTGCTGGTGCTCAGGGGATGAGAATTAGAATGAACCCAAAAAAATCCATGGCGGTTCCCTTTCCTCGGGAATCCCCGAACGGTTCATTCCATGTCTCTTTCCCTATCGCCCCAGCAAGTTTACTGGCCCAGATACGGAAAAACAAACGGTGCCATCTGCGTTTCAAGCCTAAGTGGCTAGGTCCTGCAGTAGAGAGGTTGGAATAAGTTGGTACCAACTGTTTTCCGTAGGTCTATTTTAATAGAGCAACCCTCCCAACCAACAAAGGGGAGAGAAGGGCATTCATGTTAACCCCGGATTAAAAAAACCTGGTTGATTAATAGGGGGGTGTGCCCTTTTAGTGGCTGGATTCAGACCACTTTTGGAGGGAACACCCAAAGTAAAGAGATGGGACAGGTTCTACTTAGATCCTGGGTCAACCTTACTGGGGCACCTAGGTGGGACAGCCGGGTCCCAAAAAACTCCCGTCAAAGCCCGAAGCTCGAAACGCGAGCGCGCGAGCCGCCGCTGGCGGCCTCGTCGGTGAGCGAAAGGCCCCCGGTCTTGCAGAAGCGGATCGAAGACAAGTCCTGAGCACCGAGCCGGAAGCTTCGACCTAGAAACCGGGACACCATGCAGAAACCGGGGGAGAAACAAACCAACAAAAAAAACATGTTGCGAGTGAGGGAGCCAACAAAAACGGGTTCTCTAATTTACCGTGACTTAGAAACTGCTTTTGCGTTTTGATGATTGGTTTGCTTGCATGGCAGGGGCGTCCACCGTAAAGGACCAGGGATGAGGGATGCTGTCGGAGGCCCTTAGGCAAACCTTCCAACTGGTGCATGTGCCAAGGCCAACGTGTGGTCAAAGACATTCATGGTTCACCCCAGCACCCCACCACAACTCGCAAAACCCACCCAAACCTACCACCCTCTTCCTCTCCCCACCTTTCCCCTCCCACCCCAAGGCCTCCAAACCCCTCAAACCCCTCAAACCCCTCAACCCCCCCCCCCCCCCCGCCGCAAATTCGCTCCCAGCCGCAATGGCGCCCTCCATCTCACGGGTGGAGTGGCCGCAGATCCATCCGTCAGGGGTCACCGTCAGCGCCACCCGGCTGGAGGTGTAGCTCACGTGGCCTGAGGCTTCCGACGCGTTTCTTTGGGCAACTCGAGTCGATCTCAAGGAGGAACTCCTTTCAAAACAAACGGGGGTCCCACTTTCGCATGACATCCCAAAATTGACATGGAGCGTTTTATGTGTGGTTTGAGGGGGGGTCCCGCCCAAGAGACAACCTGAGAACCCCAAGCAGCAGCAATTCTACTTCCCATTGCAACATCACCCCCACCAAGGAGACTCACCTGACCTGGGCTAAACAAGGTGGCGAAAGTTTAAAACCGCCCAAAAAATGTGGAAATATAGGGGAAATCGAGAAGGGGTCCCTCAAAATGGCTTCCGCTTGGGCCACGTTGGACCCATAGGTGTCCTTTTTGAAAATAGATGGCCCTGGTGGATGATTGAGCCACCAGGTAAACCAGGAATCGCCCTCGTTTTTTTAAACAAACCAACCAAAGAGGACACCTATGGTTGGAACCCAAACCCCCGCAACCCCGAAAACCGCCCCCGAAAACCGCCACCGAAAACCGCCACACGACGCCCGCCACACGCCGCGCCTCCCACGTCGTAGGCCTCCCGGGACAGGGCCGCAAACTGCAGGGCCCGCCGGGGCCGGGCCTCCACCGGCAGCCGGCAGATGCGGATGTTCCTGGCCGGGGTTCCCGTCCTTTGGGCTATCCTTTGTGATTGATTACCTTCTCTTCCACGTTGCCATGGCACCCTTAAAGGACCACAAAAACTATGTTAGTGGGAGGAAGGGTAAGTTCATTGAGTCATAAATTATGCAAATTGACAAAGTCATTTCCTGAAGATTATGTGGGCATATACTGAAAACCAAGTTACAAAGTTACTGCCACATCTAGAGACAAACCCAAAAACCTGTTGGGGGGTGGGCCCTTGACGCATCCCCAAATGTGATTGGTTCCTGTTCTTGAGGCTGTTTACTCTTTCTGGGGTCGGTTTAGGGAAATGTTCGGGGTTCTGATTAGACAACCTGCCTTTTGCGTGGTAACTGCTGGTCCCTCGCCAAAAGTTGAAAAGTTCAGTCTAGGGGGATGCCTGGGAATCCCCGAATCCATTGCCCTGCTGTGCGTGGGCTCTTGTGCTGCACTCTGCGTTGATGTGCAGATTCTGCTGTTTGCATGTTGCTTTGTGCTTTGCTGAGCACCGAAGCTCTGCTCTTGGTGCCCTTTGAGACAGCTGAAGCTGGGCTTTCCTTTGGCCAACGCATTCATGAATGGTTCCCTGCTATGTGGTTGAACCCCCCAAAAACAACAAAAAAATGGCTCGGGACCTCAACGAGAAACACCCGAAAACGGTCCGTCTTCAGAGACCCTGGTTGATTGATGGAGGGGCTGTGCCATTTCAGTTGGAATCCGGATCTCTTTTCTGGCCAGGGCATGTCGCATTCTGAGTGGTACCCCTTTGTGGGACGGCTTCAAAGGGAACTAAAAGGAAGCCAGCCAATTTGGCGGGGGCGTCTGTTTGATCTGTGGTCTTCCTCTTTTTCCCTTTAAACCAGGTGAGCCTCAAAGCGTACCGAGCCTCAAAAGGCCAAAGTCCGCCCCCATGTCTCGCAAAAACACCGCCCTTCCATTTGCTTCAGCTGCCAGGAAAAACATGACAACATCTCCAGTAGGGATGGATTCCCTTAAACCAACAGGGGGAATAAAACATATTCTTGGAGGTGTCTGTTTTTAGAGGGGGCCCCCAAAATGGCTTTAGTCTCCTGCCGGTCTCCGGGTCGTGGGTCTTCGGGCAGGTGCCGATGACCACGCCCTTGCACTGGATGAAGGAGTCCTCCATGATGTAGCACCTGAAGCCGGTCGCTTAACGCCCTCAAAACGTGTCCGTCCGTTTGAGGTGGTAAGCCCTTTTTGGGGGTTTGTTGGTTTTAAAGGGGAAGCCAACCATTTCTTTTGGGGGGGCCCTAGAAAAGACAACACAAGACAGGACATCGACCCATATACCTATTTCTATGGTACGGGTCTCCTTTTGGCCGCGCTTCTCTCTACCCAAAGGGGTCTGCCATGTTGTGAAGCTCCCTGTCCACATTTTCAGGCGTTGGTTTTGGAGGTAATGCGCCTAAGCTTTTAAGCCAGGAAATGGGTGTGTCTGTGTTCTGGGGAACCCTTTATGGTTTCTAAGGGGAAGCAAAGCAACCCTTCAAAACCCCCTCCCCTTTTCGTGGAACCTGACGAATTGAGAGGAGTCCTGGGACCATTCTCCTTTTACTTGGTTGACGTTGGGTTTGGGGAGCAAGAGCTTAAACTTTAGCATTTGAGTGGGGGATTTCAACCACTAAACCAAATGGTTAAAAAATGGTTTTAAAAAAACGGTTAAAAAAATGATTCAATAAGATCAAAAATGGTTAAAAAATGTTTCAACCAACAACAGCCATGTTGAAAGGGAGCGAATCCCCGCACCTCGAACGCGGGCTCGGCCCCTGGGCCCCCGGCCACACGGTGCCCTGGGCCGTGAAGTTCCCCGGGGCCAGGCGGATCTGCAGAGGCCGCGCGGCCTGCGCTCCGACCGCGATCGAAACGTGGATTGGTCCCTTCGCCCCGGAAAGCCCCGCGGGCGGTCCCCTTAAAAACCCCCAAAAAGGGCACCCTCAAAAGAAACATCGCCATCTGGTTTGCCCCACTTTTGGGCCCAAGAAACCTCCCCGAAAAGTGGGGAGAAGTCCAGGAAGTCTGAGAAAGTACCATCACAAAAGTCACATAGAACCTACACAAAGGTTCCTGGAAGTCCATTTCCTAAGGGGAACCCTGTGCAGGTCTTATATGTGGCAGGTTGGAGGATATAAATAACTAAACCGTGGCTCCAACTGGTGGATAAATGGGGTTAGTCCCGTTCCAACCGTAGGTAACAACCATGGTTCTAGTTGCTTTGTGAGCGGCCTTAACCCTTCGCAACCAGGGCTATAACCTCAGAAGTGGAAGGTGGGACAAAGGGTTGCTTGGGTAAAAAAGGAGACATCCGCGCTGGGTGTTTTGGAAACCTGGCGTTTGTTTGGCAAACATGCGACAAATGAAGCATTAAACTTGAGGGTCTTGTGTTGGTGTTTTGCTTGCGCTAAAGGGGGCCCTGCTTTTTGTTCACTTCACATGGTTTATGAGAACAACGCGGAACAGATTCAAACCACATGACTAAACTCCCAACCCGAGAGGCTGAAACACCTATTCGGCGGGATCCCCCCCACCCCCAACCCCCCAACATCTTCTTGGCTCCATTGCCCTTCCCAAGGAGCTCGGCCAAAAAGTCCAAACTGCTTGCCACTAAAGTTGTCTTCCCCAACAAAGGTGACTAGAGTCCAGGAACTCGGGGCGTGAGAGCCATGACCTACCGATCAGAAAGCCAGCAAGCTCACCCCTTCATTGCTTGGAGAGTAACCCTTCCAGGTTTCCATTCTTTGACTTCCTGAGTTGGTTGGCCAAAAAAAAGTCCCCGAACTTGCTATTTACCACTAAAGACGGACGAAACTCGGGGAGTGAAACTCTTTGACTTTTTCAAGGTGGACGTAAACGCGGGGGCTTTTCCCAAAAGGGAGCAAAACCGCCCTCCCGGCGAAATCCCCGGCGACACATCCTAAGCACTCCCTGAAGGTTTTCGCAGCGAATCTCTTGTCCGCGGAACGTCATGTCTCGGCTTTGAAGCAGGTGAAAATCCGGGCAGATCGGCTTACGCTTAAGCCATTGGCGTTTGGACGCCTCAAGTCAAGAAGCCTACCATGAGGAAAGCTAACTGCAAAATGGTACCCGAATTCCAACCATGGAAATGAAGTCCAACGTCCTGAAGCCTTTTGACGAAACCAATGGGTCGCCTCACCAAATCGTTTCATCGGGCCGGGCCACTGTCGAGCCAATCGGCGCAAACCTCCTTAGTGGTAAAATGGCAACGTAGAACTGGCGGACAAAACCTGGGGAGCCCCCTCCATGCCTGATTGTCCTGTGCACCCACACATTTTAACAGGTATGGTGATGGGGGCGAATAAGTGCGCGCAACTCTGGGTCTGCCTTCTTTGTGCGTACCCTTACAGTTGGTTTGAAGGGAAAGCCAAAGGAAACCATGAATGGCCCTTTAAAAAAAAAAAAAAAAAAAAAAAAAAAAAAAAAAAAAAAAAGATTCTCCCATGATTATGACACGATTTGGTTCTACTGTACCCCATAGCCATAACCATAACCCCGCATAACCCCCTGTCTAATGATTCAGGCCCATCTCTTCGGAGAGTCCTTGGTTTACCTCATAAGCAGGACCTTCCTTTAGCTTGCGTAAGCCGTTGTCCGGAGCAGTCTCGTCCAGCGTATCAAGTGCCATCGCCCAAGCAAAAAAAATAACTCCGCCGAATAAAATGAAAAGCCTTCCAGCGGGCGAAAACGCTGGAAGGAAGCGCCAGGCCCAGGTTGTCTCACTGGCCCCAAAGCGGCAAGCTTGTCCTTTTTGGGGCCCTGCCTTTACAAAAAACAAAGTGGGAAGAAAAAAGGTATGTGCCAATTTGAGGAGGTGGTGTTGTTTTGGGAGAGTTGCTTGAACATCCTTCGCTGGGAGCTATAGCCGTGGCTGCTGGGGTCCATGGTGAAAGTGGATGGCACGCAGTTTCCCTCTCATTGCCTACGTATACGAAGCTGAGCATGGGGGAAGGATTGATTTCACCATCTACTTTCGTCCAACTGTAGCTGGGATTACTTTGGTAAGGTCCCCTCCTGCCAACCTGAACCTAACTGAGGGGTCCTGAAAGACCAATTTCCTTCCAAATGGTCGTCTCAAACCCTTCTTGGCCGTCCTCAGATCCCCCGCCAAAAGTTCAACTTGTGGGCAAAATCTGGAAGCCCACCAAACAAACTGAAAAGATCTCAAAAAGGCTCAGGGACCAAATGGCTGGGGTTCCAAGTGGTGTCACAGGGAGGGCGCAGGGCTGCAGGCCCCCATGCCCACTCGCTGCTCCAGCGCCACGATGCCCCGCCGCTCCTGCGTAAAAGAAGTCTTCGTTCAGGGCTTTCTGGGTGGGCATCTCGGTTTACAGGGTACCTTTTCTGGCTGGTTCGGAAGGAAAACCACAGGGAGAATCAAAATCTTTGTGGGGTCCCCTATCTTAAGTCGCAGCCATATTTCCGGGCTTTTCCTTTGTTTCAGACAAGCGGGTTTTCCACCACGAGCAAAGGGAATTGCCGTGCTACCCGAAACCAATTGAAAATAAAAATTCCGTATTTCCATTTACCCCCCCCCCAAAAAAAAAAAAGGCGAGCCCCCCCCCCCCCAATTCCCCCCCCCCAAATTGGGGCTGGGGTTTAAAAAGACGCGCCCCGCCCCTCCTCCCCCCGCCCTTGTCCCCCCCAAAGCGACCCGAAAAGACGACCCCAGACGAAAGCCGAAAACCGCCAAACCGAAAAACCGGAAAAAAAAGAAGAAGAAAAAAGCCGAAAAACCGCGAAAACCGCGAAAACCGCGAAAAACCGCGAAAACCGCCAAACCGCCAAACTGCGAAGAGACGGCGCCTCGTCCTGGCGGGCGCAGCACTGCTGCCGGAAGGCGTAGCACCCCGCTGCCAGGAAGGCGGAGGCACCCACCTGGCACCGCACGGGACCCGAGTGGCTGTTGGGCGCATCTCCTTCGCTTTGGGGTTGGTGGACCCGTGTTTCTGGCTTTAAAAAAAACGGGATACCCCGCGTTTTTGGCTTTAAGCAAATGGATACCCCGTGTTTCTGGCTTTCTTTCAAGGGAATCTTTCGTTTTGGGGTTGGTACCCCGTGTTTCTGGCTGTAAAAAAAGGAAACGGAAAAGGGAAGCCACCATTTTGTGTTTGTGACCCGTTTTTTGTGGGAGGCAAGAGGGGGGGAGAGGCTCGCTGGTCTTTAGTCTCTTGCCTTCCGGCGTTGTGTGTTTGATGTGTGTGCATTTTGGAGAACAACTTTGAGCCTGCCTAAGCGGGTTGAATATCCAAGCGCAGAGTTGGGCCGTGTCCCTTTCCATGGTAAATCATTCACTGCTTTTTGCTCCGCTTGTTTTTTTCTCTTGGGGTGCGAGGGGGTGACTCTTTACACCAAAAAACATGATTCCGTGCTCTCAACCCTGTCCAAGCGTTGATGTATTTAGGAATCCAGGCGTTCTTCCGATTTCCCACCGAGGCGCGCCCATGAACACGAAGATGATCGCCGGCAGGTCCCACTGCTCTGGCGTCACCACCTCCTCCGGCGGCGCCTCACAAGTCTTTGTTAGCAAACGGATGGGGGGCAAGTTCATCCAATGCGGGGTGGCTCTCAATTCTTGGCCGGAAAATACATGTTTTGCCCGGTGAGTGGCAAACAAAGGGACCCCAAAAAAGCAAACAAACAAAAAGGGGAAGAAGAATAGATGTGCGGAAACCCGCGCACACACAAACGTGGCAGTTCCTTGCCCCCAAAGTGCAACTTTTAGCGGGAGATGTCGTAACCCTTGAGGAATGGTGGTCGCGTTGAACCGCGAAACGGGTTCCCTCACAAGCAGAGGCGCCCACATCTCCAACACGCAATGACTCCAGATTGGAGTAACATGATCTCACGTCCAACCCACAAACATCACCAGGCAAACTCGCCTTCAACTTGCTTTCGGGGGGCTGAAGGCCCTTTTGGACCGCGCAGCACTTTCCGCAAGGAGGAAAAAAACGTGCCTGGAGTCTCCACCCTTGGAAAAAGTGGTCCTGACACCTTTTTTTGGCGTATATGACCCCATAGGCACCAGGCAAGTCCAGTTAACATTGATCTCAGTGAGTTCTAAGAACTGAGTCCGGGATGAGTTCTACATCATTGCTCAGGGCAGGTGCCAGCGCAGCTAATAGCGCACATGTACATTGTTGCTCGGAACCCAGGTCCTCGGGCTGAGTTGAGACAACCGCTCTCACAAGTCAAGACCAGTAAGGGTCACTGCCAACGAAATACCCCAACACCCCAAACCATCCCAGAGATCGAGTCATGCTGAATGGCTTGCCGGGCCGGCATCATCGTCATTCCTCTCCCTTTTCGTCTTCCTCAGTACTCCTAATTGCGCGTGTCGAAATAGGGATACGGGTTTCCGGCTGGTGGGTGTCTGTCTGTTGATCTTCCATTGTCCAACCTTCAAAATGGGTACCCCCACTTTAACAATTGTGCAAGTGGACAAAGGGCTTCCCCACAAGAAGGGTAGTCTTCCAAAACCCTCCTGTCAGCTTCAATGGACAGCTTCTAGCGCCCAAGCCGAATCAGTTGAATGTGGTTCAGATGCAGTGGACGCATCCTTTTCAAGGGTGATCCGCAATTCTGTAAACAAGGGTATGCTACTGCAAACTGTTACAACTGGCCAACCGAAAACAAAAGATCCCTATGAAGGAAGCCTTCATGGGCGACATCGACGCCCCCCCCCAAGTGACGTCGCTACAATTGTTCAGACAATCCCAAAGCAAAGGAACCTTCTCTAGGTCCTCCAGTAGGAAGGTTAGAATAAGGGTACCCTTTTTTCTGTAGTCTATTTTAGTAGGGTCCCGAACCCTCCGCCACCAAAAAAAGA